AATACAAAATTTAACAATAAAAACACAAAACATAACAATTAAAAACAAACTCTCTTTTCCATTCCCAATTTTAAATTACTTATTTTCTGGACTTCCTCATACCTCCCTCTTTTGTATTCCAATCTGCATTATTTGTCCAGCAGTTTCTTTTCCACTTTTTAAACCCAATCTTTAATTTAATAAAATATTAAAATATATAACTTCAACTTTTTACACATAATCCTTGTTCTTAATGTCATATACCTTTAAATTTTTCCCTTTTATTATCAAATTTCCATTTCTTTAAACATCTTTAATCTTGATCTTTAATCTTAATCTATCCTTAACTTTAACCTGTACAGCTGGAAACCACTTATTTTCAATCCAACATCACTCTAACATTCCTTAATTTTGCAGTGTTTCTGAAGATAGTCTTTGAATTTCTTCCAGTCTTCCTCCATCGACTCTTCTCCCTGGTCACGGATTCTGCCAGTCATTTCCGCCAATTCCATATAGTCCATAAGTTTCATCTGCCATTCCTCCAGCGTGGGAAGTTCTTGTGTCTTCCAATACTTTGCGATGAGTATTCTTGCTGCTGTTGTTGCATACATAAAGAAAGTTCTATCCTTTTTAACACCATTTGGCCCACTATGCCCAGGAGAAAGGCCTCTGGTTTCTTGGGAAGGTATACTTAAATACCTTTTTAATTCATTATATATCATTTCCCAGAAAGCCTTAATCTTTGGGCACGTCCACCAAAGGTGAAAAATGTACCTTCAGTTTCTTTACATTTCCAACATTTGTTATCGGGCAAGTGATAGATTTTCGCAAGCTTGACTGGGGTTATGTACCACCTGTATATCATTTTCATAATATTCTCTCTTAAGGCATTACATGCCGTAAATTTCATACCAGTGGTCCATAACTGTTCCCAGTCAGCAAACATAATGTTATGTCCTACGTCCTGTGCCCATTTAATCATAGCCGATTTTACCGTTTCATCTTGAGTATTCCATTTCAGCAGCAAGTTATACATTCTTGACAGATTCTTAGTATTGGGTTCTAACAATTCTGTTTCTAATTTTGATTTTTCCACCTGGAAGCCAATTTTCCTGTCTAATTTAAATGCCTCCATTATTTGATAATAATGAAGCCAGTCTCGCACTTTGTTTTTAGTTTTTCAAAACTCTGCAATTTCAGTCTATCTCCGTCTTGTTCCAAAATTTCCCAATATTTCGGCCATTTGACCTCCATATTGACCCTTTTCAAGGCTTTCGCTTCCATTGGTGACAGCCACCTTGGGGTTTTATTTTCTAGCAAATCCTTATATCTTATCCAAACATTAAATAGCGCTTTCCTGACAATGTGGTTTTTAAATGCTTTGTGTGCTTTGACCTTATCATACCATAAATATGCATGCCATCCAAATACATTATTGAAACCTTCCAAATCCAAAATGTCAGTGTTTTCAAGAAGTAGCCATTCTTTCAACCAGCAAAAAGCTGCTGATTCATAATAAAGTTTGAGGTCTGGCAGGGCAAATCCACCTCTTTCCTTTGCATCTGTTAGTATTTTAAATTTTATTCTAGGTTTCTTGCCCTGCCAGACAAATTTAGAAATATCTTTCTGCCACCTCTTGAAACAGTCCATTTTGTCCACAATCTGCAAAGTTTGAAACAAAAACAACATTCTAGGCAATACATTCATTTTTATCGCAGCAATACGGCCTAGCAGTGAAAGCTTCAAGTTTGACCAAATTTCTAAATCTTTTTCACTTCTGACCAACATTTTTCATAATTATCTTTAAATAAATTCCCATTTTTGCTGTCATGTTAATCCCCAGGTATTTAACTTTCTTAACCACTGTTAACCCTGTCTCATTCTGAAACCTCTCTCTTTCAAACGGTGTTAAATTTTTCTCTAAAACCTTGGTTTTTGATTTGTTCAATTTAAATCCTGCCACTTGACCAAATTCTTGAATCAGTTCTAAAACCCTTTTTGTACTAGATTCTGGCTCCTGTAACGTCAATACTAAGTCATCTGCAAATGCTCTCAATTTATAGTGTTTAGTTCCGACCTGTATACCTTTAACCATCTGGTCCCTTCTAATCATATTCAGCAACACCTCCAGGACCGAAATAAAAAGAAGAGGGGAAATTGGGCAACCTTGTCGTGTCCCTTTTTCAATTTTAAGTTCTTCCGTCACAACGTTATTTACAATTAGTTTAGCCTTTTGTTCTGAATAAATTGCACTTATACCATTCTCAAAACCTTGGCCTACCCCCATACCCTGAAGATTCTTCTTCATAAAATTCCAAGAAATATTGTCAAAGGCTTTCTCCGCGTCTACGAATATCAACACTGCTTTAGTGTTTATATTCACTTCTAGTTTTTCCAAAATATCAATTATATTCCTCAGATTATCAGACAAGTGTCTTCCTGGGAGAAAGCCCGCTTGGTCTTTATGAATCTCTTCCAACAGCACTTTTTAAATCTCTTCGCCAAAATATCTGCAAAAATTTTGTAATCCACATTAAGTAATGATATTGGGCGGTAGTTCTTTAGTTGTGTCTTTTCAGCCTCTGTTTTTGGTACAAGTGTAATATATGCTTCTTTCCACGACTCTGGTGCCCTCCTCCCCTCCATTATTTCGTTACAGACCTCTTTCAATGGTTGAATTAGCCATTCTTTCAAAGATCTGTAGTATCTAGAGGTCAAGCCGTCTGGGCCTGGAGATTTACCCAGTTGCATGTTTTGAATGGCACCTTCTATTTCCTGTTCCGTTATTCTGTCATTCAAAATTAGTCTCTTTTCTTGAGATATTTTTTTGTAATCCATTTGTTTTCAAAAATTGGTCTAAGTCTGTTTCTTTCACAGGCCCTTGAGTGTATAGTCTTTTAAAATACTTCTGGAAACAACTTCTAATCTCTGCAGGGTTCTGTATATTCCTTCCATCCACTTCTAAATTCGTAATCGTATTTAATTTTTGTCTCTTTTTCATTTGCCATGCCAACAGTTTACCACATTTATTGGCCGATTCAAAAGTCTTTTGTCTCATTTGTTTAATTTTCCATTCTATTTCCTGATTCATTATTTTCATATATTGTACTTGATATAACTTTAACTCTCTCAAAATCTCTTGAGATTTGGGATTTACTCGCAATCTTCTTTCACATTCATTCATTTTGTTCATAATTTTATCCTTCTTCTCATTTTGAGTTCTTTTCTTTATCGCATTCTGTTGTATTAAGAACCCTCTCATAACAGCTTTACTTGCATCCCAGATTACTCTTTTCTCCACGTTGGAACTAAGATTTATCTCAAAGTAGTCTCTTAGAGTTTTTTGGGCCTTCTTAAGAAATTCTTCATCTCTAAATAAGGTGTCATTCATCTTCCATCTGAAGGAGCCAGTTGGCATTAGTCTCATTTCCATCTTAACAGCGTTATGGTCGGAGCAAATTTTCGGGCAGATTTCCACCTTTCTTGTCTTTGGTGCCATTCCTCTAGTTATCCAAATTTGGTCAATTCTTGTCCAAGTCATTTTGGCTTCAGAAAAGAAAGTTCCCTCTTTTGCCAAGGGGTTTCTAATTCTCCAAATATCCACTAAGTCCAAGTTGTCTGTCATATCAAAAAAGGTTTTCGGTAGTCTACCATCTTTGGTGACTACCTGTTTTTGTGCCTTGTCCATGTAAGTAGATACCACTCCATTCATGTCTCCCATCAAAATTATGTTGTAATCCATATGGTCCATCAAGGTCTCATGCAACTTCTTAAAAAAATCAGATTTCCCGTCATTTGGTGCGTAAACTCCTACAATCAAAAATTTTTCTCCTTGTGTTTGAATTTCAATTGCTACAAATCTTCCTTGGTCATCCTTAAAAACAAATTTTGGTGATAAATTGTCTTTTGCGTAGATCACAACCCCTCTCTTTTTAACTTTATCTGACGAAATAAATTCCTGACCAAGTCTTTTATTTATCAACAATTTCCTGTGTAATCTTGTTATATGTGTTTCTTGTAAACAAATTAGGTCTAATTGTTCCTTTTTTAATATATGAAATACTGATTTCCTCTTCTGAGGGGATTCAAACCCCGGCAGTTCCATGTTAAAAGTTGCAGGGCCATGATGTTATTGTTTTGGTTCTCCTCCTACTGCACCTAGTGCCTGTTCCTCGTCCGTCGGTGGTATCCCTTCTTTCGAACGGTCTTTTGGTTCCGGAAATAGTTCTTTTTGTAAGTCTTCTCCGTGGTCCCTGTAAAATTTATCTTTATCGTCTTCCGATCTTATTTTCCTCTTCTTTCCCTTGTAGCTAAAAGACAGGCCTTGAGGAAGTTCCCACCTGAAATTGATGTTGTTCCTTCTCAGCAGGATAACCAGGTCTTTATATTTTGATCTGAGATCCAGAAGATATTTCGGAATATCTTTGAATATTTCCACCCTTTTCCGATGAATTTCCAATGTCTTCTTGAAATGTAGGCCCAAAATCTTATCCCTCTCTTCTTTTGTTCTAAAAGTAATCAGGCAGTCTCTCACCTTCTTCTCTCCTCTTCTCCCAAGTCTAAAAGCATTTACTATTGTGAAACTGTCTTTTGCCAGTTCTGGATCCCAAAAGTCCAAAAATTCCTGCGTGAGAAATTCAGCTAAATTGTCCTTTTCCACCTCTGGTACTGATCTGACCCGAAGATTCACTTGCTTCTCCTTCAAATCTATCATAGACAGAGTTAGTTTATGGTCTTCCAATTGTTTATGCAGTGTTGGTAATTCCTCTTGAACCTCCTTAACATCCATGGCAGAAGTTGTAGCAATTTCTTTAGCCTCTTCAGCAATCTGGCGAATTGAGGCCGATTCCTCTAATAATTTCTGAATAGTCTCTGTGTTAGTATTTACTTTTTGGCCCAAATTATTTATACTTGCTGTATTCTGATTGATACTTATTGTATTTTGGTCAATCTTATCAGAAGCCTCTGCTACTTGTTGACTTATTTTATTCAAAGATTCATTAACTTTGGCCAAAACTTGAGCAAAGGCTTCTTCACTTGTCGAACTTTTTACCTTTGATTGTGCCGATGAGGCTGTTGTTGAGGTTCCAGAAGGGCCAGAGGCCGAAGCTCTCCTTTGTAATCCTTCTTCTGTGCGAATATTCCTCCCCGATCTTGTAGTCGAAGCATCCGCCTTCTCTTTATCTGCCATTCCTTAGATAATTCTCAAGGTCAGACACGTAGTTAGAATTGAACAGTGGAAATTTCCTCCCAAGCAGTGTGAGAACTCCTCAAGCCTGCTACAGTTACAATTATAACAAGTTGCAACAGTTCCAAGTTCCACTAGGGGGACACTGTAACAGTCATGAAAGTTCTTGGATACTTTAATTTCCTTTTTAAGCCCCCCTAGTTTGTTCAGAAGGAAAACAGTCTATCACAATTTTCAACTTAGGACCAGGAGATATATATTCACAAAAACTATCCCAACTTTTATTTCCAATGCAGGACTAGCTGTCAAAATATATTACAAGACAGTACCTCTCTTTCTTTCCTAGAATCTGGAGAATCCTTTCCCAGGAAATTGAGTGATGGTTTAATCTCTTCTTTTCCACTCTTTATAAAGAAATCACCTCCAGAGATCTCCCCCTTTTCCCCTCAACTTATAGAGGGAAAAGTCCAGGTTAGATGATTGGATTAAAGTCCGCTGAAACGTACTTTCCAAATGCTTCCGCTTTCAAGTTCAATGCTTTAAATTTATCTACAATAAAGGAGGCTGACTTCATTTTTAAACCTCCTTCCGTTTTCAGCCTAATTTCAGTTTTCAATTTGTACAGTTCCAATTTGAGTATATCCTACTCACGGATCGTTGATTTCCAGGTCCGGATTTTAAGGAAGAAAGGCAGCGCTCTCCGGTCAACAGCTTGCGGCTTCACACCACGAACGAGCAGACAGCCCACAGCACAGCGCTCTCCCCCGCTCCGATTTCAAGCCCGTTTCTGGGCTTTTTGCCGGGTTGGGGGGGAGCGCCAAATGTGCCCGCTGGGTCCCAGGTTCACAGGCTTCCCCCGCCTGTGATTTTTAGGGGTCCCCCGCTGCGCCGAAGCGGGATTCGACCCTATTTTTCGTGGCGCTGATTCCCTCTAACCGAGGAAATCCGCCATCGACCGCTGGCGCCGCCTCCGGAAGTCCCCAATGTAACTTTTACAAGCAGTAGAAAGATACCGTCTAATATTTTTAATACGCTCACAAGGCACTCCAAAGTGTGTACCCATAGACCCTGCACTAATTCTACATTAACGGCTTCCAAAAGTATGGGAAGGTCCATAGCTCAGTGCTTTACCAGCAGAAGGTCCCAGTTTCTTTCCCTGACATCTCCAGGTACAGCTGGGAATGCACCTTGTCTCCAACCCTGGAGATGGATGGTCACTTAGTATATAGAAAATGCTGAGCTAGATCCAGGTAGAGGCCCCTCCTAGTCCTACCTGGAGATGCTGAAAATGGAACCTAGGACTTTCTGCAAGCCTAAAGTATTAGTGTTGTTGTTTAGTTGTTTAGTCATGTCTGACTCTTTGTGACCCCATGGACCAGAGCATGCCAGGTACTCCTGTCTTCCACTGCCTCCTGCAGTTTGGTCAGACTCATGCTGGTAGCTTTGAGAACACTGTCCAACCATCTCATCCTCTGTCGTCCCCTTCTCCTTGTGCCCTCCATCTTTCCCAACATCAGGGTCTTTTCCAGGGAGTCTTCTCTTCTCATGAGGTGGCCAAAGTATTGGAGTCTCAGCTTCAGGATCTGTCCTTCCAGTGAGCACTCAGGGCTGATTTCCTTAAGAATGGAGAGGTTTGATCTTCTTGCAGTCCATGGGACTCTCAAGAGTCTCCTCCAGCAGCATAATTCAAAAGCATCAATTCTTCGGCGATCAGCCTTCTTGATGGTCCAGCTCTCACTTCCATACATCACTACTGGGAAAACCATAGCTTTAACTATACGAACCTTTGTTGGCAAGGTGATGTCTCTGCAATCATGATGTCTCTCCTTCATGGATCACTGCCTTGCCGTGGCGAAGGGGCTTGAATAACTCAGAGAAGCTATGAGCTATGCTGTGCAGGGCCACCCAAGATGGACAGGTCATAGTGGAGAGTTTTGACTAAACGTGATCCACCTGGAGCAGGAACCGGCAAGCCACTCCAGTATCCCTGCCAAGAAAACTCCATGGACAAAGACAACAGGCATATAAAAGTATTAGTAGCTACAGGCAATTGTGCATTCACAGGAACAGCAAGGAACAGGAGCGGGGGAAAGGAAGAGACCTACAGGAGCCACCACCATAGAAACCATCTCTTTGCATTACCCAAAGAAAAGTAATGTATCTACTCAATTGGGTAACTTCATCTACTCAAGCCTGTCTGCTTTGATAGGCACTAATCTGGCAGGGATTGACTGCCTCCACCACTCTGTCTCCATAGCTGGCTTTATATCCAAGGTGCCAGCGATTGTTTGCTGCCACTGCTGCTGTTGTTTAATGAAAGGCAAAAAGCACAAGGGGCTGGTGTTTGTACAGTGAAAATCAAGTAGGAAAAGAGGAGCAGGGAGAACTTTAATGTTTCGCAATAGGGCATGTGTGCAGACTGATGCTCAGACACACAGATATATTTCACCTGCCTTCCTCAGGACTGAAACGTGCAGAGGTGGAAAAAGCTCACTGTAATTATTTTTAAAGCACTCGTGAAACTGATGAGCATTTACTCCGGGAAGGAGAAGCCTGGTGAAGCTGACACACTTGGTATTTTTTTACCAGACTTTTCTGGACCGATTCCCTGCAGAAAGCAGGCAGCAGCAGTGGGTCAGTGAGTTTCACTGCAGCTGCAAAGATGGGATTACAATCCATTCCCAGATGTATTGCAGACATTCCTTTGCACCAGGTGTAGCAATGGTGTTACAGTCAGTTGACACCTAACTGTAAAAGGGCTTTGTATGAATTCAGGAAGAATAAGGTTATCAATAGTGTGGAGCCTGGTATGGCTCCTCTTTATCACATACACAGCCCAACAAGACAATGACAAAAATCCACCAGCAGCATACAAATCAATATGGCTAACCTGATCCAAAACACATGAAACCCCCCACACACATGAAAACAAAGACCACCACAGCCAACCACAAATGAACAACCACACCCTAGGCCAACCCCAACCTCTCTCACCACCAAAGGAACACAAGTGGACAGCAGAGAACCTGCACAAGCAATGGTGACACAAAACCCCACATATATTAAGTAAAATAGAAACATCGCCACCTGACCCCACCTCCACCTTTCCCACCTTTTTCTTCCTAATGTCTCGACAAATGAAACCGATTTGTAAAAAATGTCACATGGGGGGGTAAGAGAGAGAGACGTTGCACATACTTTTGTAAATCAAGAAAATCTGTAATAAAAATACCATAAAAATGAAAAAGAAAAGAAAAGAATCAATAGCATGGAGAAAAGGCTTAGTTTTTCTCCCTCTTGTTAACTCTAGAAGCAAGGACTATTCAATGAAGCTGATGTATGGAGATTCAGGATAGACAAGAGGAAATACTTCTTCTCTCACAGACTTTTTGCATGAAAAAGAAACTGAAACAGTGACATATGGATTTGGGGGTTGAAGATAATATTGGTTTATAGAAAGTGTTTTTTGGGGGTGTTATACTAGAGTGGATGAAGTGACTATTGCTTATATACAGTGGGCAGATGAAGAATTGGAAGTTCTTTAATTTCTGCATTTTATCTTTTCTATTCTCTCTTCTCTCTCTGTTTATTGTTTTCTCTCATTTCCCCCCCTTTCCCCTCCTCCTTTCCTTATCTTCTTTTCCTCTATATTTTTATTTAGATTAATGTTGGATAAAGAAGATATTTGGTTTTAAGTTTTGCACCTCTCTTTATAAACGCAAATGAAATTTATTTTTTAAAAAGGAAATACTTCTTTACACAGTACATAGTAAAACACAGTAAAAGAAAAGTGCATAGTAAAGAAAAAGAAATCACTTCCACAAGATGTAGTAATGGCTGTCAACTTGGATGGTTTTAAAAGAGGATTGAACAAACTCAGGGAGGGAGGATAAAAGTATTGATGGCTACTAGCCACAATGGCTATGTGGCAGTAAGTTTCTGGATGCTGATTTCCTGGGAACTGCAAGAGGGGAGAGTCCTGTTTATGACGTCTGGTTGGCCACTATGAGAATAGGATGCTGCACCAGGTAGGACTTTGACCTGACCCATCAGGGCAAGGACTGTATGGCAATTGCAGTGGAAGAAAAAAAATGTTATAAATCAGCACTCAAAGAAACACAGTAGGGCACTGGGGAAAACACAGAGGATGCAATAGCCCAGGTGAACATCATCTGGAATCTCACAGCGAACGGTGCCAATAATGAAGAAAAGGACTAGTGTGGATGGGGACTTGGGAGTAGAATTATGCTCTGGTGTAAAGTGCTGTAGGCTCAACATAGCACCTGACATCAGTTGACATCTGGGTCTGAGGGTCCATTCCTCCATTCTTTGCTAACCCCAAACGGATTCAGTTTTATGCCTTTTTTATGACGGGGCTTAATGGTTGTTTCTTATTGATCTTTCTGTAATTCATTCTCCCTGGAGACTGTAAAACCTAATTAGGTGTTTTCTGCTTTTAAACATACCCAGCCATTCAAGGCTATAGGCTGCCCACCGTAGGATATTTGCAAATCATAAACTACTGCTTTCTGATCATAAACCTGTCATTATGTGTTCCAGGCTTAATTCCTAACTAGAAACAATTGAGTGACAAATTGCTTCACAAACACAAGGACTGCCAGAATCCTTCCATTATCAGCAACTGATTTTGCCCGGTACATAAACAGGGTAAGTAGGAAGGTTGTAAAATAATTTCAGCAGCTGTTTCAGCCACACCGCAGACCCCATTGTTGATTGTTGATTCGTGATTCAATGATTAGTTTTAATCTAGTGCCTCTGATAAGTGGCCAGTGAGGCAAATATACCAGGTAATTTGTTTGATTCCTGGTGCCTGGAAGCCTCGTACCTAGACATTCACCAAGTTTCCTTTTGATGTTGGGAGCTTAACAACCAAAAGATTCTGCCTCCTGTTTATGAGGGGGCTGAAGTGCAGTTCCAAACACACACCCACACACCTGCCCCCTTTCTTAACAGCTTCACAAGGTTAAACACCCATTACCATGGGAGCTATGTTGATGGAACTAGATTAAGGGTTTGAGATAACAGAGCTGCCTATGTCTCAAGTTCACTGTTCAGCCACAATGGCATGCTACTTCTTTGTTCATTCCAGGATTTCCCTTTGATGCCTTCTTTGCTTATTTTTGAAAAATAAATCAGCCTTGTCCCAACTTTGTGCCCTCCAGATGTTGTGGACTACAACTCCCATCAATTCTATCCAGCATGGCCAATGGCAATGGTTGATGGGAGTTGTAGTCAAGAAGACCTGGTGAGCACAAAGTTGAAGACTGGTTCAGCCCAGTACTTTCCACAAATGTTAACTTTTTCAACTGTCTGAAGACAGAGAGCATTAAAAGAATGGGAGAAATCTCCATCCAGTGAGTGGCTTTTCTTAATTTTATTTTTTTCACAGCTGGGGTATTTTTGGCTCCAAAATTAGCCAGTTCTGAATTTGCACTCATGCATGGATGTCAACCACTATGGGGTGGTGTTTATGAATGTCCAATAATTCAGAGATATGCCAGTGGATGTTGGCCATCATTTGAATATGCCTGTAAAACCAGTAGCAGTGTCCTAACTTTAGTAGGAGTAACTTTAGAGTCACGAAGTAGTGAACATGTTTTAGAGTTCATCAGAACTTTTCTTCAAGCCAATGTTCACTAAGACACGCATGCACATACACACATGCACACACAGACACGCACACACAAATCTTGCCTGAATCAAGTTAAGTCGTGTTTATATACATTCAAAGGGTTTTTATTCCATACAAACCAAGATCATTATAAAGATGAATAATATGAACAGAATCTCATAATAAACAATTTCCATAACAATCCAATAACGCTAAGTACCTAAAACATACTAGGTAAAGGACCCCATGGTGGTTAAGTCCAGTCAAAGGTGACTATGGGGTTGCGGTGCTCATCTCATTTTCAGGCCAAGGGAGCTGGTGTTTGTCCACAGACAGCTTTCCGGATCA